CAGTTACCTCCTGAATGACCAACAACAGTTCTTCCAGCAACTTGGCCCCTCCCTTCCTTTGTCCTTCCATTTACGGTATCCCTTTTTAACTAAACCTCACCTCAACATTTTTAAGTTGAATGTAAGGCCTTGCAAGGTCAGTCAAAAATCTGAAATCTCTGGGCCACTGCTGTTAGTTTTTTAAATAAATCGTGGAATACTGGGGAAATTCCAGAATCCTGGAAGAGTGTTGTGAGACAGAGAGCCAGGAGCCTAGAGTTGACCCAGCACTCTGGTCAGTACGCATTAGCTGTTTGCCCTGGAATTGATTTAATTGGGAGATGAGTGCTCAATGGCTTAATTAGCAGGAGGCGGAGGAGCTAATGAGAACACTCAACTCATCAGCTGGAAACAGTTAAAGAAGAGGAGGGAAGTGCAAGGGGAGGGGGCTGGCAGGGGCCAGAGGATACAGAATCTCAGGATGAGATCTTTACCTCTCCCTCCCCTAAGAGTGAGCTAAGCAGGGCCGGCTCTAGGTTTTTTGCCGCCCCAAGCAAAAAACAAAACAAACAAAGAAAAAACCTCCGAGAGCACAACTGCCGAAACCAAAAAAAAAAAAAAAAGTAAGCCCCCTGAAATTGTGTTGCCCCAAGCACACACTTCGTTTGCTGGTACCTAGAGCCAGTCCTGGAGCTAAGGGGGAAGTCTTTTGTCCACTTGTATGTTGCTGCATGAAGCTGTACTGGTGAAGCGGACCCAATAAATAAGACAGTGGTGCTTACAAATGAAGAAGCATCCAGGCTGTTTGTGGTGGTCCAAAGGACAGAGAAGATAGCCCTGTTACATGCTAATATTGTGCCAATAGTCAAACAGATAAATGGGATGAGCCAACTATCTACAGGCCAGTTAGCCTTACACCACATGTTTCTATTGGGATTCCTCAGAGATCGGTAGTAGGTCTGAAACTATTTAACATTTTCATCAGGGATCTGGAATTAAATATAAAATCACTACTGCTAAACATTTTTAGATGACACAAAGATTACCAGAGTGGTAAATAATAATGGGGACAGGGCAGTAATACAGTGTGATCTGGCTCACTTGGTTAACTGGGTCCATCCAAATAAAAATAAATTTTAATATAGCCAAATTAAGGAAGTGGATGGTAGCAGGGTCCACAAAGCCAGAGTTCTGAAGGAACTCAAATATGAAATTGCAGAACTACTAACTGTGGTATGTAACCCATCATTTAAATCAGCTTCTGTACCAGATGACTGGATAATAGCTAATGTGACACCAATTTTTTAAAAAGGCTCCAGAGGTGATCCCGGCATTACAGGCCAGTAAGTCTAACTTCAGTACCAGGCAAACTGGTTGAAACTATAGTAAAGTACAGAATTCTCAGACACATAGAGGAACACGATTTGTTGGGGAAGAGTCAACAAGGTTTTTGTAAAGGGGAATCATGCCTCACCAATCTATTAGAATTCCTCGAGGGGGTCAAAAAACATGTGGACAAGGGTGATCCAGTGAATATAATGTACTTAGACTTTAAGAAAGCCTTTGACAAGGTCCCTTACCAAAGGGTCTTAAGCAAAGTAAGCAGTCATGGGATGAGAGGAAAGGTCCTCTCCTGGATCAGTTACTGGTTAAAAGATAGGAAATTAAGGGTAGGAATAAATGGCCAGTTTTCAGAATGGATAGCGGTAAATAGTGGTGTCCCCCAGAGGTCTATAGTGGGACCAGTACTCTTCAGCATATTCGTAAATGATCTTGAAAAGGGGTAAACAGTGAAGTCGCAAAATCTGAAGACAATACAAAATTACTAAAGATAGTTAAGACCAAAGCAGACTGTGAAGAGTTAGAAAGGAATCTCCCAAAACTGGGTGACTGGGCAACAAAATGAAAGATGAAATTCAATGTTGATAAATGCAAAGCAATGAACATTGGAAAACATATTCCTAACTATACATATAAAATGATGGGGTCTAAATAAGCTGTTATCATTAGCTGTCTGTTAGTCTATAAGGTGCCAGAGGACTCTTTGTCGCTTGTTACCACCCAGAAAGAGATCTTGGAGTCATTGTGGATAGTTCTCTGAAAACATCTGCTCAATGTGCAGCAGCAGTCAAAAAAGTGAACAGAATGTTAGGAACCATTAGGAAAGGGATAGACATTTTGAATACTGTGTGCAGATCTTGATGCCCAATCTCAAAAAAGATGTTTTGGAATTGGAAAAGGTACAGAGAAGGGCAACTAAAATGATTAGTGTATGAAACAGTTTCTGTATGAGGAGAGATTAAAAAGACTGGGACTTTTCAGCTTGGAAAAGAGATGATTAAGGGGGGATATGATAGATGTCTATAAAATCTTGACTTGTGTGAAGAAAGTGAATAAGAAAATATTATTTCCTCCTTCACATAACTCAAGAACTAAGGGTCAGCAAACGAAATTAATAGGCAGCAGGTTTAAACCAAAGAAAAGGAAGTACTTCTTCACACAACGCACAGTCAAGCTGTGAAACTCTTTACCAGGGGATGTTGTGAAGGCCAAAACTATAACATAGTTCAAAAAAGAACTAGATAAATTCATGAAGGATTGGTCCATCAATGGCTATTAGCCAGGATGGGCAGGGATGTAACACCATGCTCTGAGTGTCCCTACCCTCTGTTCGCCAGAAGCTGGGAGTGGACGATAGGGGATGGACGATAGGGGATGGATCCCTTGATGATTGCCTGTTCTGTTAATTCCCTATGAAGCACCTGGCATTTGCCACTGTCAGAAGACAGGATATTGGGCTAGATGGACCATTGGTCTGACCCAGTATGGCCGTTCTTATGTACTTATGCTCAAATGCAAAATTATACATCTAGGACCAGGAATACATGCCATACATACAGAATAGGGGACTGTGTCCTGGAAAACAGTGTCTCTGGGCTTGTCTATATAGAGAGTTAGTGTGCAGTAAATGTAGATGTAAATCTACAGTACCCTAGCCTACCACTAACTGGCTTTGTGGAGCCTGTCACCATCCACTAAAAGTTCCTTAATGCAATCTGATCTACTCCCATTTCAGATCAAAGCACAGTAAAAAACTTTTTAGTGGGTGGTAGCAGGGTTCACATGGCCAATTAGTACACAAAAGTCTATTGTGCTGTAGATTTAGACTCCAGCACTAACTCTTCATATAGATAAACCTTTGGAAAAGGATACAAGATCCTTGACTATATAAACAGGAGTGTAATGAGCAGAAATAGGAAGGTGATTTCATCTCTGTATATGACATTGGCAAGACCAGTACTGAAATATTAGAGGGGTAGCTGTGTTAGTCTGTATCCACAAAAACAGCAAGGAGTCCGGTGGCATCTTAAAAAATAACAGATTTATTTGGGCATAAGCTTATGCCCAAATAAATCTGTTAGCTTTTAAGATGCCACTGGACTCCTCGCTGTTTTTACTGAAATACTGTGTCTAGTTCTGGTGCCCACATTTTAAAAGGATGTTGAAAATGTGGAGAGGATACAGAAAAGAGTTATAAAGATGATTTGAAGCCTGGGAATGCCTTACAGTGAGAGATTTAAAGAGCTTATCAAAAAGAAGATTGAGAGGTGACTTGATTACAGTGTTTAAGTGCCTTCATGGGGAGAAAATACTGCATACTAATGGCCTCTTTAATCTAGTGGAGGAAGGCATTACAAGAACCAGTGTCTGGAAGCTGGAGCCAGACTAATTTAAATTAGAAATTAGGCACAAATTTTTAACAGTGAGCGTGATTAACCACTGGAACAAACTATCAAGGAAAGTAGCAGAGTCTAAGTCTCTTGAGGTCTTCAGATCAGGACAGGTCCCTTTCTGGAAGATATGTTTTAGCCAAACACAAGTTATGTTTTAGTCAAATAAAAGGTACTGGGCTCAGTTGAGGGGCTACTGGGTGAAATTTAATAGCCTGGGATATACAGGAGGTCAGACTAGATGATATAATGGCCTCTTCTGGCTTTAATCTACACTGTCAAGTATCAGAGGGGTAGCAATGTTAGTCTGGATCTGTAAAAGCAGGAAAGAGTCCTGTGGCACCTTACAGACTAACAGTTTGGCCGATGTACATAGCAGAGGGGCATTGCTGGCATATGATGGCGTATATTACATTGGTGGACGTGCAGGTGAATGAACCGGTGATGGTGTGGAGTTACTATGGTGCAGTAACCTCTAACTCAGGAACCAATCCATGCAACAAACCTCGATGCCAACTCTGTCCACATATCTACACCAGCAACACCATCACAGGACCTAACCAGATCAGCCACACCATCACTGGTTCATTCACCTGCACGTCCACCAATGTAATATACGCCATCATATGCCAGCAATGCCCCTCTGCTATGTACATCGGCCAAACTGGACTGTCCCTACATAAAAGGATAAATGGACACAAATCAGATATTAGGAACGGCAATATACAAAAACCTGTGGGAGAACACTTCAGTCTCCCTGGACACACAATAGCAGATTTAAAGGTAGCCATCTGGCAGCAAAAAAGCTTCAGGACAAGACTTCAAAAAGAGACTTCTGAGCCTCAATTCATCTGCAAATTTGACACCATCAGCTCAGGATTAAACAAAGACAGTGAATGGGTAGCCAACTACAAAAGCAGTTTCTCCTCCCTTGGTGTTCACTCCTCAACTGCTAGCAGAGGACCTCACCCTCCCTGATTGAACTAACCTTGTTATCTCTAGCCTGACTCACTCTTGCTTGCATATTTATACCTGCCTTTGGAAATTTCCACTACATGCATCCGACGAAGTGGGTATTCACCCTCGAAAGCTCATGCTCCAATACGTCTGCTAGTCTATAAGGTGCCACAGGACTCTTTGCTGAATCTACACTGTGTTATTCAGCACCTAGTACAATGGGGCTCCATTCTCAATTGGTCCTTAGGCACTGTCATAGTAAACATAATAATAAGTGCATGCTGTAATACAAATAATAAATAATTTTAAAAAGTGTTTTCTTTTCTTTCACAGAGATGTTGTGGTCCAGTGAGGAGGACAGAGGACTGTGAGGCAAGTGCCCTGGGATTTACTCCCAGATCTGCCTGAACTCCCTCTTTATCCTTAAGCAAGACACTAAAATATTTCTGCCCCTCAGTTTCTTCAGCTGTAAAATCTGAGATCTATAGAAGAAAACTGCCCTGTCCTCATCATTATTTACTACTCTGCTAAGTATTATTGCTTTATGGCCGAGAAGGACGGAAACTGGTATAAAGGTGTGAGATGCAGAATACCACCAGTCAATACTGTCAATGCACAGACACCAGAGAGTACGGGCCAGATAACAAAGCTGTATCAATTTACACCAGCTGAGACGCTGGTCCATTTGTTTGTTCCAAGAAGTAAAATGAAGGGTAGATGTTTGAAAGGCCAGGAATCTGATTAGGTCATTAAAAATAAGTGAACAAATTTAATGTAAAAAGTGAGTTGTCCAGAAGAATTCTAGAGACTTGAACATCAATAATCATTAAGAATTACCCATATTTCCCTGTTAAAAAGTATCCATTCCCAGGTTTACCAGTTTTCAATAGCCTCCTCATTTAAAATAATTTTTACAGTTAGGGCTGAAAAAAAATTCCACGTTAACTCATCACCGCTGCTTGATCATGAGTCTCTCTACGCATCACTTCTAATGGAATAGCCAAGCAAACTGAAAAATAACATTGCTGGCTGTTCAGCACTCTATATCCTCCTGCAGCATTAAACGGCCTATATACGAAAGGAACGCTTCGAACACATAACATTCATTTAACATTCTCAAGTGTAAAATGAAAGTTCTTCATTATTGTATAGTCTGTTATCTGTCAGAATAATCCTTCCAAGGAGTTAGACACATTATTATTATGGAGTTACTGGTTGTGACTCCATCATTAAGGCGGTCTTGAAAAATGCAGTTAAAGTGAGTTCCATTAATTTTTATAGGTACAACAAAAATATTTCCTCCCCAAAGTCACACCTCTGATTAAAGGCATATAGACTGAATATTTGTGAAAGATTTAAGTGACTGAATTGAAAAGGTTAAAAGTAAGAAGAATTTTGTAAATGCCCCCTTTATGAAAATTTTCACTAGTTTAAAACATTTATTTGGATCTCTCTAATTAAAACATAGGAAAGTTATATTTACCACATAGCTATTGTTAGTGTCTCCAGTTTATGGTATGTGCTGAATTAATATTTACAAAATAAATAATTTATTTACTTTTGTGTCAGAATTTCTTCCATTTACTCTAAGGCACATGACAAATGACACAACCAGGATATTCATAGGGGCTAGGACAAGATGTCAAGTACCTGCAGCAGTGCCGCATGCAGTAGCCCCGCTCTCAGTGGCTGCCTTTTGCATCATACCTTGAAGCTCTATACCCTCCAGTCAAAGGGTTCATCTACTCCTTGTTTCTGTCCCCACCAGTGTAAAGTGCAATATTGTAAGAAACAGCATAGTATATGTTATACCAATGGAATAAAAACCAGCAGGATCTTATTAAGAGGGATAAGGTAAAGATGCCACATTTATTGTAAATATAATAATAAAGCAAAAGATAAAAGTAAACAACGTTGTTTGACTACTTATTTTTATTACTACTTATTCCTTATACACACACACACACACATATTATCTATCTATCTATATCTATCTATA